TATTGCTAGTATGTTTTGAGGGCCTAGGGAGTGATTCTCACCCAGTTTTTAGTCGTTTTGTACGCGGATCACGTTGAGATTTCATCCGCGTCGTCCCTATATATAGAGAGTCTACTCACTCTCTGATTTTTCTTTTTTGCATGATACTGCAGAAATTTGAAGTAATGATGCAAGGATTGGATTTGGTGAAGCATTTCCCCAGGAATAAGACAGTCTGAAAATATTGAAATAGAAACACCTGTCAAATTTGGGGATTTTAATTAACTTATATTCCATTTTTGTTCAGTAAGTTTTAGTGTCATTAGCTGACATGCCACAGCACAGTGTTAGCTATGTGACACTATACTTACTGAAAAAAGAACATATTTTTGTACATTTTCATACTGCCGCCACTGTTGAGTTATACAAGAAACATGAGCGGTCAAACTATTCTTGTCTGACATTTCTAATCTTCAGATGCCGTCTTGGAACAGCAACTGCTATAAGTCAAGGATTTGTACTTGCATCCAGTAAACAAAGTACATCTGTAGCCGTCCCTCTTTGTCAGAATATCGGTGTCTTAGATGGTCCCTAACAACAAATCGGAGGGCCAGTAGACGCTCTAGCTAGGTACGTAGGAAAGAAACGGATGTGAAATCTCATGTGACCCGTACAAACTCACTCCATATATACAAGTTAGGCATTCCATTTGCAGGACTTTCTCTACAAATACTTATACCCAGGTGTCCACAAAATTCCCTGGAGTCATCGTTTGAGAATTTGCACATACGCGATTTCACACTTCCCGTTGTATTATTTCTATATACCTTTTCTTCAGTAAACTGACCTATAGCTTTTCTGCCAGGAAAAAAATCTGGAAATCACGTGGAAATTTCGGAATCAGTTGGAAATTTGAAATTATAGTCCTAACAGCTGTGTCGGAACCCACCCCCACAATACTTGGGAGGGGCTTGGCATAAACATTTGTCATACAGATGGCTTTTGCTATAAAGAGAAATACTTTGTGCAAACCTATCTGTTTTGTGGCGCTCTGCTGGTGAGAGTAAGCCCCTATCAATTAGGATTGGTTATAACAGTTGGCACAAGATTTTAACGTTGTATTCCTTAATCAAGACTTTTACTAAGAAATCGAGCATGGAGAGCTCAGCATAAACTTTGTCTTTACTGCCAGCATGCCAAACTTGGCATGACTTTTTACAGGAAGGCAAGAATTGTCATTTTATGCCACTCTGTGCATAGCCTTAATTAGCACCCCCTACATCAAGGTAGGATCATTCTGGAGCTTGCCCCTTGCTGTCACTAGCCAGATCTGCATGCAAGGAGATAAAGTCTGGGAGCGAGACAGATAGCTTTTCTGCAATGTAGGCAAAATTCTTGTAAGTGCAGCTGAGTAAACTGCACTTTGTTTGCAAATTAGCTACTACATAGACAGAATGACACCTGGTCCCATTGGCTACTCTATATACTGTACGGTCATTAATAATTATAATGGTGAAACAAGTGGAAAAAGTATTTCTGTGAAAATTAAGGGGGATGTAGGGATGGCACTTCATGAAGAGGGAAACAAGACTGGAGGTCAATAGAGTAAAGAGTAAACTGCACTTTGTTTGCAAATTAGCTACTACATAGACAGAATGACACCTGGCCCATTGGCTACTCTATATACTGTACGGTCATTAATAATTATAATGGTGAAACAAGTGGAAAAAGTATTTCTGTGAAAATTAAGGGGGATGTAGGGATGGCACTTCATGAAGAGGGAAACAAGACTGGAGGTCAATAATCATAATCCTCCTATCCCCTACGTCTTTGTCAAAGTAAAATACAATTTGTTCCTTTGTATTGCATAATCAAAACAACGTGGACAAAGATATAGGTAGCTATGGAGTGATTTTGGTATCTTGCATTCCTCGTTTTCATGAAGTCCCGTCCCTACATCCCCCTTTATCCAGTTCTAAAATACACTTATCAAATTTGTCATTTAACACTAGAAGGAAACAGCCCTTGAAGCACAACTGCATATCTCTAAAACTAAAAGGTTTTAGTGTCTCACTCGTTAAGGTCAGGATTTGAGAATGTACAAGGGGTTATCACATCGCATGGTCCTTGAGTAGCAATGTCACTGTTGCATCAGGGGAGGAATAATATGACTCGTATATATAGTGTAGCTAATTCCAACTCACACAAGACAAGCTGTAAGAAAAAAGAAAGTCAGGATCCTGTCCTGCATTGTTGACCAACACCTGTTAACATAGAGAAATGGAGAGCATGGTTAAGTAGGGGACTAAGCCAGACTAGCTATACTCTGCTGAACTTCAAGCAGAATGAAAGCCCAGTCAGTCAGTCAGTCAAAGTCAGTAAAATAGTCAGTCTATCAGTCATGAAGCCTGTCTGTGTGTCTGTTACTCTGGCAGTCTTTCAGTCTGTCTGTCAGTAAGTCTGTCTTTCTCTCTGTCTGTCTGTCTGTCTGGCAGTCTGTCTATTGGTCTCTCTGTCAGTCTTTTCTGTCTGACTGAAGAAATAACCTCTTGTTTTGAAGGTTGTTTTACTAGTCGTTTTAAAGAAGGTTTGCAGCACCTATTAATAACAACTTTTGCCAGATGGAAATTCCAGAGACTTGTGAACACACATTCAAGGTGTGGTCTGACAAGAGCGATGTAGTGTAGTTGTACACTATTATAGTTACAGCTTCGCCAGTGAGACTGCACCACTTAAATGGTGTACATAGCTCGAGAGAAAAAAGATCTCTTTTGCAAGTCTGATACAGGACTCTTTTATAGATGATCAAATCACTATAAAAGTTGTAAAATCATTTCTTTATAATGAAGGGGGATGTAGGGATTGGTCAAAACATGAAAAAGGAAAGAACAAGGGGTCAATGTTGGACCAGCAGAGGTTGCTAGTATAAATGATGCCCAAGCACTTGATGTATCGTTGGACAAAGGGGTTGATAATGAGAGGGATGGAGAAGTATTGTAATGCTTATTGGAGAGTATACACTTGCTTTTCACATAATAAGTCATGAGATCACTTTGTCCCATAGTTTGTAAATTACCAACTATAATAATTGCCCAGACATAATTATATAGGACTACCTTTCCTTTCCTAGATGTTTCTGTTACATCCCCAAAATTGTGGACTATGTGAGGATGCCCATAATAAGTGGTTTGTTCCACACTTTATTGTATTTTGCGTGGGCGAATCAAAGGCGCCACCAGTACTACATTGATCATACAGAACGGTTTTTGAATGAACTGTACTATATCGCGCGGAACTGTACTATATATCACGAACTGTGCTATATCCGACACAAACAGCTGCTGGAAGGGCGCTCCGCGAGCTTCTAGTCCTTCTGAACTTGCAAAAAAAAGATTTTCCTGGCCGCCACTATATCCGCGGACTAGCGTACGCTTTGCGGGAATGACGCCCTCGGCGGCCTTTCGTAGACGGAGTTCGACTCAGACGGTGACACAAACCGCTGCTGGAAGGGCGCTCCGCAAGCTTCTCGTCCTCTCTTCCGTTCTGAACGCCGGTTTTCCTGGTCGCCGCCTTTTGAATCGCCCACGCATACAATAAATTACTTAATGTACGGAAGCACGTGTAATAATGGTACTCGGAACGTGGTCTCGATAGATCATACTATCTCGACCACGCCCCTCGTACCATTATTACGCGCACAGCACTGATTTCCGTACATTAACTATTACATATTATACAAACAGACAGATGTTCTAGTCACAAAAGTACTCCAACATTCTCTACCCAGCATAAATACCAGAGATAAGTACCATGGAGTACTATGATTCGTTTTCAGTGCCAACTCTTTCCACAAAGATGTACACGCCCTGTTATAATCCTTGTCAGCAACTTAGCCACTGTGTTTAACAATATTATGTGTAGATATTTTGTACCACATGCACTAGCCACATGTATATAGCTACCAGAGGAATGTGTTTGGCGAGCGAGCGCAAGCAGTTCAAAACTTCACGCATGTACATGACAGTGCGAGCATTCCGACGGTATGTTTGTCGGTGGTCGGACCGTTACTCTGGTAGGCGAATGCCGTGCATTTTTGGAAAGCGGGAGCGAGCATAGAATGCCTGTATCTGCACGAACAATCCTAGCCTATTTACAACTTTCATCTTCGAACCACGAAGATTGGAAGGACGTACAGCCTCGGTCTGGCATTGAAAAGCGCAGGACCAGGCAGCGCGTGGACAAGAAGTGCGTAATCCGAACGCATGTGTATATAGTTGGACGACGTGTGGTCGGTAAAAGCACAAAACGTAAAGCATTACGGTAGTGACAGCTCCTGACCTGAGAGAGTGCCCGACCGCTAGATAGAAATTGGTCCGTTAGCAAGACTAGGTTGGCTAGTTCCCACCAAAATATGGAAAATTCCGCATTCAGATGCCAACGAAAGTTCCTAACAGCCACACTGTACATTTTACCTAGACAAAAATAAATAAGCATACATCTTTTGGAGAGGCAATTGAGTTTTGTTAATAATTAAGCTTACTGCTGCTTATGGTGCTTCCTGATAATATTGTTCGTGATAAGAGCTTAAGTGGGATATGTTAATTAAGGGATGGCTTGAAGCACCAAACAAGGTTCAATACACAGCAAAGACTACATGACACCATCCATATATTATCATAATTAACCCTCAGCGCGCATGCGCAGCGAGGATTACTCTAGTCGTTCTGTCCGTCTGTCTGTCTGTCCGCGTAAATACTCCAAACTTGGTACGTAGGATTATCATTTGCAACACTACATCCTAGATATAGAATAACTAAATGATATTTTATCGTACGCTCAGGAGGCCTGTCCGATTATACATGGTGTCCGACCTTTGATGAGCTACTCTACTTGCGATGAAGAAAAAAATAATCGCTTGATGTCCATTCACACTGTGACATTGTTAGTAAAAACTAGTACTTGAACTAGTTCCGGTAAGCAGATAGCTAGCAGGTTTACCGAAGAAGATGAGGAATGCATGGTGAGTCGTTCTCACCACCAAGCTTTGAGGTGTTTTGTAAGCAGATCACGTGAGGTTTGACCTGTGCCATCCCTATATAGAACATCTACCAACATTTATATGAATGGCCCTTACCAAGGCCCTTACCAACAACAGATGGCTTACTCAACATGTACACTATTGTTTTACTCGCAAAAATACCACATAATAGTATGTACTCTAGCTTTATACAAGACACACACCATAGATAGTAGCTAACCATATAATATGAGTGTTTTCTTACGTTCCTATTACTTAGGAATACTTAACTACTTACTGTGTATGTGCCCAAGTTTATTATTAGCCACTACCCCACTAGGTAGGTACACATGAGCTACAAGTACAACTAGCTTTATTATTAACCCTACAATCTACAGCCTTTTGGGAGAGCAAGGCACTTTTAATTCCTTAGTGCACATCCAATACACAGCTAATGTCATACATTGTCATCGCAAATTGCGCTTTAGCTACATCAAAGAAACCATCAAGGGCAATGAGGAAATAATACGCGGGTTGATAGCCACACGCAATAAGTAATTAGGGTCCAACTCCAATCTACCAGTCACATTGCAACAGCTCAGAGAATTAGCTACAAGACATTCCATGTGGACTATACCTGGTTCCAGCAACCGTGAAACTTTCCGGAGTCTCCTACGGGTCGGTTGTGTACGGCCACAGAGATCCTCGCAAGCGCAGAAATAACCTCGGCGCAAGACGCTCCTGCACCTTAATACACTAACGTACTACGCATGCGCAAATAGTGCCTCTAATTGATCAGTCGCGCAGGGGCCAGACATTCCCCGCGGAACGTCTGGCCCCGCGAGAGACTGGATTCCTGCGCTCATTGCATCATGCGTACAACTACATATATATTATACGTGGCTACGCCAGACTATACAACGATGTGGACATTCATGGCCATCGTAATACTTCGGGCATGCATCAATATTCGGATAAGCTTTTTGACGGGATCCTGGAACGCTACGATGTCCCGCAATGGCGTCACTAATGGCGATTTTCGTAAAAATGCCGCGTTCAGAAGTTATGGCGTGAAAACCCTGAACAAGCAAATAGCTAATTGGCACAGACTTCCTCGACCGGGTGAGCTTGTTCTGTGAATGTGGAAGGCACAAGAAGTCGCAACAAACAACGTGTATCGACTCCCGCATGCTAGCCCGTGCCTGAGCCCAGCGGTACCGCGCATGCGCAGTTCGCCGACTACTGGACTGCGTAATACATTATACTGTAAACTGCCTGTTGTGCAATGCTTTTCTATGACATAATGATGACATAATGTGTTGTGCAATGATGCTTTTCTATCATACATGTTGTGCAATGATGTTGCAAAGCTAAAAAGTAGTAGCAACTGCCTGTTGTGCAATGCACATGATGAATTAGTCCTAATATAGTCTACCCTTAGTTACTTTGCTACAATATTCACAATTACATGCCTCTACTCTACATTGTTCAAACTTCGTGACTAGCAACTCTATTGACACGCTCAGAGCGTTTGCACTTTAGTGTTTTTCATTGCTGGGGTAGCTAGCTTTGTGTGCTTCTTTGGCCAGGCAGTGTTTACCCATTGTTTGTGTTCCATAGCTATTGGCCCACCATTGTAATCTGATTACACAAAGTGTAGCCAAAACCTAATTAGCTTTCTATTAGGCAAGCCCCAGTAAGCCACTGAAGTGCCCTTACCAATCCACTTTGAGCATTAGCAACAGATGTATGGCCCTTACCAACAACAGATGGTTTACTATACATGTACACTATTGTTTTACTCACAAAAATACCACATAACAGTATGTACTCTACCGACACAATACCATTGATAATAGGTAACCATGGAGTGAGTAGTAGCAACTCTTATCGCAATGAAGTTCCTCTTACTTACTATAATATGTACTTTGTATGTGCCCAAGTTTCTACCCCACTAGGTATAGAGTTAAACATGAGCTACATGTACAAGCTTATTATTAACCCTAGAAAACAATGCAATCAACAGCCTTTTATGAAACAACATATTCCATTCTGCACTTCAGACTTGTGGCTACTTTCATCAATTGTCATCACTAAATTAATTGTTCTTTAGCTACAGCAAAGTAACCATCAAGGGTAAACAGTTCATTGAGCGTGTTGATATATATACATGTAAGAGATGTAATTACAAGGTTCCAATATAGCTACCAGAATAATTTGCACATTGTAACAGTTCAGAGAATTTTGCATTATACCTGGTTCCAGCAACCGTGAAACTTTCCGTAATCTCCAAGGTTTCGTTTGCTGCACAGAAAAACACTCGCAAGCGCAGAAATACTCTGGCGCGAGACGCTCGCGAAGATAAATACACTCACGTACTACGCATGCGCAAAAAGTGCCGCTAAAAATTGATCAATCTCGCAGGGGCCACCCGCCGGACTAGCCTCGTTAAGGGCCAGGTACAATCTGTTTGCGCATGCGTGGTATTCCGTAAAATAATAATTCTCCAGAGAACGTTCCAAGCCTATACAGTTGAGAAAAAAATGTACTGCGAAAGATGTTCCTCACTTGGTGGCATGCTTACCTCGTCTACAGCCTATCACAGAAGCCTTCCTCAATCTTGTGGTGAAAAACTACCCTTCTCTAGCGGCCTACAGTCGTTCAATATCCGTGCCGATGGGTCTAAGAGCTTCTACGAGGCCCAGGAACACATTCCCCGGGAAACGTCAGACCCGGCGAGACTACATCATTGCGTCATGCAACGAAACGGACGTACGCAATTGCGTAATTATCTCCTCGTCGTAGCTCCCACTGTCTGCGAGTATAATACTTTCCAATGTTCCTTCGTCCAGTGAGTTTGCGAGAGTGTTAATTTTTCAGCTAATCTTTGTTGGTTAACACAGTAGTACGTTTACCTATTGCTCGCAGTTAATAACAACATAATGCAATAAATTGGGCCCCAAACAGTCAGAACGAGTGAGTTATTATAGCTCTGATACAGTTCTTTGCTTTATAGCTACCATAATGTAGACAGCTAGGCTCTCTCAGATTTGATCTTGGAAAAGGGCTGGAAACACAGGTGGTCGATGGGGATGAGTTCGATGATGGCCAACACCTTAACACTTAACCAGTCACCAAAACATTATGCTATAAGTCCATAAGAGAATGGTTGTAGTCCGAAGCCTTACAACATCAAAAGAAAAATATTACTAATACATACAAATCCAGTAGATGGTGCAGCTGCAAGCTATCAGCAATGATAAATCAGTGGTTAAGTGGGGTTGGGGGGACAGTTCCAACATCTCCACGCTGCAATGGAAAACTTTTCAAAATGAAGCTGGGGTACATGTTGGGTTGTCAGACACATCAAACAGAAAGGAACTACAGTGGAAAACTTGGCAATATTGAAACAGTAGTATTATTTTTATTCTAATTGAAACACACTGCTTTAACGATAAAATCCACTACGTGCTAACAAAAAGTTTTCATTCAGAAGGTTCCGGAGAGAACTGCAAGAAAGGGCATACATAAATATGTCGTAGTTGTAAAAACCTGTTGAGCAAATCCTCGGCGAACTGCGCATGCGCGGTACCGCTAAGAATGGTGGGCTGGGCTATTGGTGTTTACCCGCAGTCTCCCGCTAGTAGCTCGCGAAGAATCTAACACGGGCTAGCTACGGTAGTAGATAGCATGCGGGAGTCGATAGACGCCCTTCGCTGTGGCTTCTTGTGCCTCCGAGGTACACAGAGCAAGCGGTTCAGGTCGAGGTAGAGCCAGCATACTGTGCTGATCGCGTCTATTATACGCATGCGCACCGCTTATTGAAGGGTTGGGCCACGAAACTCGGTCCGCGACCGTGCCAGTTTGTCGCTCTCGAACGCAGTCGTTTCAGGAAAATCGCCCTTTAAGTTTTCAGGCTCGTGTAGTACTGAAGCCGCTGATATCGCTAATGGGCCGCCTCGTAGCCTGTAGTGCCAGAATAAGCGTCGACACACACACACACACAGACAAAGTAACCCTCGCTGCGCATGCGCGCCGAGAGTTAATTACCGTCATAGTTGCTGTTTGCCCATTACAGTTGATGGCTTCAACAGTTACAGTTTGGATTTCTTCTCGTGAAACAAATCCCTTATGGAACGGATCACCTGGATATTGTTCAGACCACATCACTAATGTATCATTATTGTCCAATCTACCAGTAAAATTACCAACTCAGAGAAGTATTATTATACCACACATTCAGTATGGATTTTACATAATTCGAGCAACCGTGAAACTTTCCGGAGGCTGCTAGGTGTCGCTTGTGTACGGCCACAGAGAAGCCCTCGCAAGGGCAGAAAGTACCCCTGCGCAAGACGCTCGTTCACCTAAATACACTAACGTGCTACGCATGCGCAAAAAGTGCACCTAATGGGGGACCAGTGTTCGCCGGGCCCCGCGGTACGTCTGGCGAGCTGTGGTCATTGCGTCATGCGTACAACGATGTGTAGCTACAGTCGAACCTCCGACAATTTACCCTCTGAAAATCGGAAAATGAATGTGGCGGTTGTCATTGTTGCAATTTGACACCCTCCGAGAAGCTGATTCCGGACAGCAGACAATGACGAACAACAGGAAGCCTCTTATGGTTATAGCTATACACACACATGTAGCTATATATTGAAAGATGGACGAATGCTGTATGAGAGGAGACCGCACCTCTCATACTTATGCAGGGTCAAAACTAAGGAGTGTTTAATTAACACCCCAAAATTTCTGTTACTGCCCATTTGTCTGAAATTCCGGCACTGGCTAAAAATTTGACACGTTCACAAGTCCAGCTGTGGATAAGCCAATGTATTCGTTATGTAATGCACCTTGTGAATAATATTTTGACTGTCACTCACATTGAAAACCATGCAGTCCCATAAAAGTGATATAGCTAGCAGCCATAGCTAGCATTACTGGCCTAACAGATATATACACATTATACAAGTGGAAAAATCATTTCTTCAAAATGAAAGGGGGATATAGGGATTGCTTGAAGCACCAAAAAGGAAGAAACAAGGGGTCATTACACAGCAAAGTTGCACAAAGCTACATGACACCATCCCTATAATTATCTTTGTTCGATATTAAACTTTGCTTATAAACAATAAAACAAAGATATAGGGATGGTGTCATGTAGCTTTGTGCAACTTTGCTGTGTAATGACCCCTTGTTTCTTCCTTTTTGGTGCTTCAAGCCATCCCTATATCCCCCTTTCATTTTGAAGAAATGATTTTTCCACTTGTTTCCACAATTTTTAACAGCTTATGACAACACTGCATTTATTGTTACAGTCACTCTGATGTTCATGAGTATGTTGTAGATAGGCTATATACAATAGACAAATTGTAACTGTAGCTAATGGGGCTGCTAGTGCCTGAAGCAGGGGCTATAGATACCGCATTCACCTCATGTATTGTCTTCAACAAGGATGTAATTAGATTATTGCACATAGTTGTGGTTTCATGGCAACCTGGGGGGGGACAAACAATGAAGACCATTTGACTGAGCGCCCCACAAGGCTCGCGTAACACCGCGCAGACTCTGGCAAGTTGCTCTTCGTGCAAATCAACAGCAAGCTAGCCAGTTGGAAATGTGCACACTTACTTACAGAAGGTACTGGAGGCTGAGAGTTCCTCTGCAGGTCTGCCAACTCGCCTGGTAAGTGTAATACGCTCGCAAGCGCATTGGACAACGCCCCTGCCTTGCGCATGCGCGCGGCTCACTGATGCTGAGTTAGGCGTTGTTCAGTGTCGACCATGGAAGAGCTCCATGATCTACCGTAGTGACTAGCGGCAAGAAAGAAACGATCGCTTGATGTCCGTGCACATCTCCGGCGAAATTGGAGACCTTCAGTGAAAAAATCAGTGCTTGAACTGGTACTGGTAAGGAGATAGCGGGTTTAAAGAAGAAGAAGAAGAAGAAGAAGATGAAGAATATGATGACACGAAAATCGTGAAATCGCGTATGAGCGAATTCTCGTGTGGACGACTGAAGGTGCGTATGAGCTCTTGGGGGACATGTATAGGTAGATATGGGCCCGTAGACTATTGCTAGTATGTTTTGAAGGCCTAGGGAGTGATTCTCACCAAGTTTTTAGTCGTTTTGTACGCGGATCACGTGAGATTTCACCCGTGTCATCCCTATATAGAGAGTCTACCGACTCTCTAATATAGCTAACGCTGTGCAAGTATTTGTGCAGTGGTTCGCTATTAGCAACTATTCTCGGTCAGATGACACATGGCGCATTGTAGCAACTTCCAGCAAAACGTACAATTGTCAATCAAAGTGTTTAACTGCTTCTACTCTACTATTAAACGCCATATATGCTAAACTACACTGCTGTTAATGGGGTCCTGTGACTTTTTAGACATGCTGTAGAGAACACTTTGATAAAACGGGTAGTAATGGCAGTAAAATATCCACAACACTTGCCATTGGGCTGTGCAGTGCTAGATTAGTAGAAACACAGAGGCTGAATCTCTTACCAGTCATTCAGCAGCTATTAAACATACTCTAATTTAGCTCTAACGTACTCAATAGCTACAATGTAGTGTTTGTAATTGTTCAATTCAAAATGTTAGTGTTGCCTTTAGCCACTTCGTCCTCTTGTTGCTGTTACCTGAAAGGCAAAAGGATATTCAGCAACAGTTATTACAGTAATGGTTAATCATTTACTGTTGCGCTTTGTCCATCGCAGTTAATGGCTTCAATGGTGACACTCTGATCATCCGAACTAAACTCGCCATGAAATGGATCACCTGCATTTGGAAGTTATAAGGTAAAAAGTAAGTGTTGCTCCTTAGCTATAAAACTATAATTCTTCATAATAATATGTGACAAATTTATCACTAAATACGGTAATACTTAGCTAATACATAGGGATGACACAGGTCATCCTGCATTATGCCCATACGTTTGAGATTTTCATGTTTGACTTTCAGTTCGAATCAGATCCAACTTTTGACACATCAGACTGATCCGTATCGTCACAAAGAACATTTATCCAAGAAATGGTTTAAATCGCATAATCGGTACTTGATTTATTTTAAAAAGTCAGTTTTCAAATTCTTGTTGTTGTTGTTGTTGTTCAGTTTCAACAAGCGTATCTCAGAAACCACTTAAGATATGAATATGAAACTTTGCACAAAGATTGGAATCCATGACAGGTCGTGCAAGAGCATTTTTATTTCTTCGTAAACAGTTTTGTTTACATGTAAACAACAAATAACAAAAAAAAATAGCCCCAGGCCATACATTATGATATAGACCAATAAAGTGTGCTAACTAGGTAGAGCAAATACCCAGAATGATAAAACTTTGTACACACATGCAACCCATCATTAGTATCAAAATGGAAACATTACAAGTTTGTAAACAACAACAAACAGCCTCAGGCAATAAAACTTGTAAATGGTGTTTGTGCCTGTAACTCGCTTATGGTTGGTCCTCTAACAATGAAACTTGGTACACTGATGTACCATGATGAGAGTTTATCGAAACAGAAAATTACAAGTTTGTAAACAACAACAAACAGCCTCAGGCAATAAATACCTGTAAATGGTGTTTGTGCCTATAAATTACTTGTGGTTTGTCCTCTAATCTAACAGTTAAACTTGGTACACTGATTCACCATGATAAGAGTTCATTGAAACATGAATTACAAGGTTGCAAACGGCCTCAGGCAAAAAAGACTTTTAAATGGTGTCAGTGCCTATAACTTGCTTATGATGGGTCCTCTCACAATGAAACTTGGTGCACTGATGTAATGTGAATGACGACAAAGTGTCTGAGGCGATAGCTTAAGGCCACTAATGTTCCTTTTTTTTATGGGCTTCTCCCCAACTTTTTATTGCACATCATGCGTGTGAATGCAGTAAAAAAAGGAAAGGAGACAAGTAAATAAAGAATGAGGATGACCTAGTGGACACGATGCACTAGTACAATGGATGATGGCTACATACTTCAAACTGACATTTCTTGCTCGTGTATAATTTCCTCCACACAAGCCCTATATTGTCGCCACTCTTACTAATGACATGGAATTTTAAATAATTTAGTGTGAAGACTGGCAAACGAACTCTGTAGAGAAAGCAGCATTGTAAAACTGGTTAGTTGAGCGAACATTGAAGTAAATACAGTCACGATTCATAGCTGAGGACCTGTCAGAGGGCATTAGCTACCTGCATAGGAAACAAGTCATAGCTGCACATCATACGATAGAGATCACTCATGCTTTGCGACAATATAGGGCTTGTGTGGATGAAATTTTACACGAGCAATCGATGTCAGTTCAAAGTATGTAGGCATCATCCATTGTACTAGTGCATCGTGTCCACTAGGTCATCCCTGTCTTGTCTCCTTACTTTTTATGGCATCCCTATATTCCACACTTTTTAATCCGAAGAATTTTTTATTTACTTGTAAGCACATAAGTGTTGGGACGGAAAGCTTTCTTCACCGTGTACCTCAGATTTACAAATCCGCTCATCTTGCTCCCGATCTCATGCCTGGTTAAACGAAAGTATGACCAAGAGAAAAAAACGAAAAAATAAGCTGTACTAGTGGGATTCCAACCCATTACCTCTTGATTCTCGGGCACCACTATGCTATGGGATAACTTCAGGGGGTTTATCAAACGTGAGAGAGTATGCTGACTTTCCTAAGTGCCAGGCGTGATATCAAGTAATGTGCTATGGGAGAGCTACACTGGCTACAGATATGAGTTCTGATTGTAACGTGAGAGAATCCTAACGTGAGAGAGTAGTCTCACTCCTAAGCAGGTGATATCAATAATACAGCAATTTTCATCATAATATGTGATATTATTGTTAAAAGCGCACTGTGTCTTACATTTTCTTCGACAACCTCCATTGGGAGTGCAGTAGGAACCATTTATCACTGCAGGAGCAAAACCATTATCTACTCTGCACCGAAGGCTGTTGTTCATGAAGGAGCAGATGAAAGTAAATATATCATTTCCGGCCTCCCGTCTTTGACTGAGATGTAAAAAATAATTGTACGTAGCATTTAATGTGGATGGGTTTTGCTAACTTTAAAAGCGCTTGAAGTGACCGCGCTTGTTGCCTCAGGATAGGATTACGAGCCCTGAGGTTCCTTTCAGCAACCAACGAAACATTTTCTGAGCATGCTGTAAAGATAATAATATTTTTACCAACGGTGATAAGGCGAGGTGGCCCAATAGTGAAAAAATAAAATGATGACGTTGAGAGAAAAAGGTCACACTCAAAATTAACCATAATATTCTTGTTTAACTCTCAATGATTGTTTAATTGTTAATAAGCTCTTTCCTTTCCCAGGCATAGAAAATATTGAGCATTGGTTGATCCTCGGTACTTGTCGTAGAAGAGAGAGTTTGTTGGTTATGCGCATAACCAACAAACTCTCTCTTCTACGACAAGTGAGGCAGGTATATAGGTTATATTAACCAGTCTCAACACTCAATGGTATTAATTCTTAATGGTATAAACATGTATAACTCTAGTGTCTCTCAAGATCCTGTTTGATTAGCTTGCATGATTGTACCTTAATTAAAACACTATTTTTGTGTAAGATTAAATGCGTATGAATTTAAGACCCTGAAATAATTTGTGCCTTGCTTGCCTTTTCCACGTTGAATTCTCTTTTAGAAGAGTTAGGGTATAGAATTGTTTATACGGCAAAAATTGTGTAAGTTCCACTTAGACATGGAGAAAGAGGGGGGTGGGTACTCATTTAAAAGGAGAGTGCTTGCTGGAATGAAAAGTACTTATTTGCAAACCCTGGCTGATAGTGTGCACGTGTATATACAATTATTATGGTAAACCAGCAGCATCACTGACGATGGACTCTATACCCGTCTTTCAAGTAATTTTAATTCCTCCACAGTTAACAGGCTAAACTTGGTCGAGATAATGTGGTGCATATTGGCTTTTTCGCTTGTTTTCTTGCCATAATCTGCTTATAATTTTCATCCTTTGACGCCATGGGTATCTTCTAATAAGTACAATTTTATGTTAGAAGTATTAGCGCCTAGATTATAACCCCCATATAAATTCCTGGACACATTATTATGTGTCCGTGGCTGGTTAAGTGTTAATGCCCTAATATAATAGTCCGGATGCTGTTGGTATTGCTAATATATACCGCCTCGTAACGTGTAGTTTCAGAGTGGCATTGACAGGCAGACAAACACACAAAGTAGATACTGTAACTCACACTTTACATGCGCACTGAGGGTGAATATCAGCTTAGAGAGTGCGAAAAATAGTTAATTACAATACCTTCTCTCATTCTCTGATCCTCAATAATAAACTCGGTACCAGGGTCACTAACAGTGCCACTACCAGCGCCACTGAAATCCTCTGAATAAAATCAACACCGCAATAGAGATTAGGTTAATTATTTTATTTATGGAATACCTATATCTTCGAAGGATATATCATCTGATTCTGGGATAGCATTAAACAGCACGTCATTCATCTTATTTAGCTCTATCAGTTCCCTAGGAGTTGGAACTGGGTCCGTCTAGTCACATATAAAAAGTAAAATCATAGTGTTTAATGAGACTACCAGTAGCTATGTTACAGGAGGTGGTGGAGGAGGGGTTGTTGGATGGTTGTTACAGCTCCTCTTTCTTCTGCCAGTACCTGCATGATATATAACTCTATTAAGCCTACAAACGTAATGTCAGAAGCAGCCTCATGCCTTAACCATTTGGTCTGATGGTGCACAAGTGTAAGTTGGTAGTTTAGTGTCAAAAAATTGGTGAAAAACAACTTTATTGCGGATCTACAACGATTGCTATTGAGCTATCAGAGCCCAACGATATACAACCATATTAGATGCAGATGAAAGTGGGTGTATGCATGGCTGGACTAAAACGCATTCTTGACATGACTACTGAACTAATGTCGAGTGTGTAACATGTGCAGTTGTGTGCACTGTCTTTTTTGCCAATCAGGTGGACATGCTTCAGTTGTCTTCTTTGCTTGCTGCCTGGGTCATGTCAGGTATTGCTGGGCTCGAAAAAGCAGCAAGGGAAATAAGGGTAAGAAATGGCCAATGTATAGCAATGTCTGAGTCTTTCTAGTCTCGCGGATCCTAAGGTTGTGGGAGACTGCATTTTCTAGAACTAATACCCACAGCAAGGGTTGGTCTCTGTTTTTGACTGTTCATGTGTGTGTGCGGTTTTGGCCTTGTGGGGATGAATCTCATTAGTTCAGAACCACAAATGCTGCGCTCAACTTAGCCTTTATAAACTCGTGGTGCCAAAGAGAGAAGTTGTGGTATGCTCTGCTGATGAGGGACAACAAGCCCGAAACAGTTGTCCAGAGCTCCGCATCTTTTTTCTCTTGGTATCACATGGTGTATTGTTTCATGTGTTTGTTCATCTGTGTATGCTACGTTACAAAAACGGTGATAATGAAAGTGTGAACCCTCAGCGAACTGTGCATGCGCCATACCGCTAATTGATGGGCTGGGCTATCACTATGCGTTTCTCCCGCTAGTATATAGCATGTGGAGAGTCTGGTACGGGCAAGCTACAGTAGTAGATAGCATGCGGAAGTCGATACATGCCCTTCGTTCCGTTGTGACTTCTTGTGCCTTCAAGATACACAGAGGTCACGGTCGAGGTCAGCCGCGCCGCGCATTTCGAACGCGTATAATATATGCATGCGCACAGCTACTTGATGGGTTGGGCCACGCAACTCGGTCTGCGACCGTCCAGTTTCTCGCTCTCGAACGCAGTCATTTCAGGAAAATCGCCTAATTACTTTTCAGGTTCGCATAGTTCTCAAGACGTTGGGCTGCCTCGAACCCTGTAGTGCGAGAATAGCTGCTGACTAGACAGAGAGATGGACACACACATACCGTAACCCTCACTGCGCATGCACGCCGAGGGTTAATAACAGCAGCAATCCTATATAAAGAAATGAAGGGGGATATATATAGGGATGGCTCAAAACATGAAAAAGGAAGAAACAAGGGGTCATCACACAAAGCTACATGACACCATCCCTATATCTTTGTCTGGTGTTTTTACCTATGAATCAATAGAACAAAAATATAGGGATGGTGTCACGCAGCTTTGTGTGTCTTAGCTGTGTAATGACCCCTTGCCTGTTCCTTTTTCATGTTTTGAGGGATGCAGATTTTGTTTGGGTGTCATTTTATTTCTTGGTCTGCAGAAATTTTGGAACTATAGGCCCACGAGGTGCCTAATAGCTACCAAAGGCCTCAGAACTGATTTCTGACACGACCATGTTAGTATGGCGTTAAAACAAGCGAAAAAGCTGGTAGTGTACCATGGAGGGATGAAATTCCTCAGGGGATGCGTATTCTAAACACCGCCTGTATTGGAGCGAGTAACTGGCTCTGAGGTGTTTTACATGGCGTGCGCGATTAGTTGTGGTTTATGCAAGTTAATAAGCAGATGAACACTTGTGATCGTTCTTTGTGCCAATAGTTATTGCACTTGTGCTTTTCATTACAATGGTGATGAAATATTGGATGGGTTTAGCTATTATTATTAATACACTGAAGTGATAATAAAGTACTAACCTTTAGGATTTGGGAAACAAATGATGTACATCTCAAAACCCGGGTATCTGTTGGATTCACTCGTGCGGAATTTAACTTTGAAATTCCCTGACTGCTGCAGCTGCAGCACAAGAGTAGGGTTTGTAGAGTTTCCACACACCTCCTGTGTTCCGAAGCCATCATCACCACGATCCACAGTGATAAAGTCCTCACACCTTCATTTAAGACAAGTATATATAACAGAAAAATCTTAATAAAAGATTATTATACATGCCATCGCCGCACTCCTTTCCTTGCAAACGGAAGTAGGTCAGACTAAAGAACGCCTGGTCACCCTCTTTGCAGTTGATGTTGTATTCGACATAAAGTTCATTTGGATACCTAGGAAAAATAGATGGAAAAACAAATATTATCCTCCTTTCTCAGAATTAGTACATTATATAGGGTCAGCAAAGCAAAAACAACTCTTTTTCACCTTGTGCTCTTAGCTACCCACTGAGCTACCAACTCAGGACAAAGGCATACTTCAACAAATACACGTAACCTCTCACTCGATTATGACACATATGTACATACTACCTACGCCTTTCTGCGTATAAATCCAGGAGAGTATATGATCTTTGTGTTCTCTGTGCCAACAGTGGTGATGGGCTTAGGTGCCACAAAATTTGGTTTTCTTGGCCTTTCACAGCACGTGACAGTGGTGGAGTTACATCTAATACTCCTCAGCTTAGTGAAGTAGACGTAATACTTACTGCAGTTTTGGAAAGTAGAGCAATATATACCATACACATCAGTTTTGCTAAACATTTTCATTAGAGACCCTTTTTTGAAACATAAACTGATATGGAGGGGGACAAAAAGGATGGAACTTCATGAGAATTAGAGTGCAAACCCTCGGCGAACATGCGTGCCGAGGGTTAATAAGGCAGATGCATACATAGAGTTCTTAACACTATCCCTACTTCTTTATTCCTCATTAAATGGAACAGCATAATAATTATTATGTGTATAATGAATGGGTTAAAAGCAAGGAAGGGATTAGGGACCTTTTTCCGGTAGTGATATGGGACAGGAAAGAATGTCCAATCTGGAGATGTTAGCTACTTCACATTATTTCATTCTTGTTGAGTAAGTTATAGTGTCGTGTATAGCTCACAGGCCACAGCATAGAACGAAACATGCTTAAAGAATCTTGCATTGAGGGCTTAATCTTGCAAAATGACGGTAGCTAACTAGAAATTGTTGTTGTGTGCACATCAAGCTCACTGCTGGAAGTTTGAAAGTAGTAGGTAGCTAGTATCTTTTTGACCTGCAAATATGTGATCAAATTAGAGCTGAGAGACATTTAATTAAAAAAATCTTTTCTTTGAACATCGTTTGTAGTCTACCAGCTGCAGACCCCTTCTTTGTCTGACTACTGTTAAAAACATCCGAAAATGCAAGTGTGCTCTTCCAACACTGGCTTACAATAATAAAATTCCTTGATGGAAACCATCCTTGCAGTCCAACTGCAAAAAAATAATGCCCTGAAATTTGTCTCACTCGGTCATGTCAGCAAATTTGGATGGACATGAGAGCCTACTTAAAAGGCATCGACTATTTCCTTGTTGAGCAGCACAGAATTGAGTGACACTGCATCATGAGAGAAAGAAAATTATTAGTAGTGTCAAATACAACTGCTGCTGTTCTAACTCACACAATAAGAAAGAAGAGGGTCAGGATCCTATCCTGCATTGTTGACAAACACCTGTAAACGAAGGAATAGAAAAATTTACCGGGTACTATATACTAAGTCAAACAAAACTATTAAAACCTCTGAACTACAGAACAAGACAGGCAGATAGGAAGACTGACTGACCCACCCACGATCCAAGCCCTCTGGTGCATGTGTACATTATAGGTCAGTCTGTCTGTCTATCTGTCTGTGTGCTCAGGCTAAAAGCACCCTACAAGAGAGAAACTAGCCCAACTACAAAAACTGCTTAGCTAGCTTTTTTATGTCTGTCCATCTGTCCGTCTGTCTGTCGACTCTTATTCTGGCACTACACGTTACGAGACGGCCCATGAACGATACCAACGGCTTCAGAACTACGCCAACCCGAAATTTTAAATGGCGATTTTCCTGAAACGACACACATGTATACGAGTGATCAATCGCGCACGCAACAAGCCGATCCCTCCGCGCCTGCGCGCCTGCGTATGAAAAATAAATTCTGCATTTGCATGGATACACAAAAGTAGCAACAATGCTAATGTTATATGTGCACCGGCTTATATTACTAGTAATAATTGCTTAAATATATATCTAAAAGTAGTAGGGTCATTGTCTAATATGTCACGAGGTAAGTTATTCCACACTTAGAGTGTTTTAGGCAAAAAAGGAGTGCTGAAAATGAGTTATGCGTGCGAAAGGAATTTTATAGGAACTTGGTGCACTTGAACGGGTTGAAGCAGATAGTTGTAAGGTTAGAATGTCAGGAGGAAGGTAGGAGCGGTGAGTATGAAATCGATGTAATGTAGACACCCTTAGGTACTCTCGGCGGCTGGCCAATGTTGGGATTTTGAACAAATCCAACAATTCCTCATAAATAGCAGATCATCTTCCAAAGCTGATACGTAGAGCATATTTCTGAATAATTATGTTACACTAGCGCACGCGTTTGTGATTCGCATATATACGTATGCATCGAGCATGCGTAGACACTGAGTTCATTCGTCGTTGTCCCGTGGAAGCTATATACCTGTATAATGGATGCCAACTCTTAGCAAAGGTCTGGGTTAGCGCTAGCTTTGCACTCGTTTTACAGAGCCTTTTTGCTTCAGCCCTTCAGAGTACGCGCGCACACGCACACATTAGGTAACAGCCCTTGTTCCCAGGTCTAACTTTGTGAATAATGTATATCCGACTTTTTCAGGATACTTCTGATACTTGAGTCATTCATTCGTAATGGTGATATTCTCAGTCCTGGAACCAAATTGTTGTTTGATTTGTCTGATTTCTGCGTGATCATGGTTGTGTTGTGAACTTGTGATTTGATGAGATGATGATGGTTTCTGTCGTTCTTCGATTTTCGTGTTTCTAGGCTTTAGGACATGTTCACTGTTTATTCTCGTTTCAGGCCTGCTTTATAAAGCCAGTCTGTGTCTTCTAAACATGTTCATTGGCCTAGAGTCACACACTCTGTGACAAGTAATATTGCTAGACTAGCACTTACACATAGCCAGACCAATATGCGTGGTAGCTACCACGCCGCCGAGGGTTTTGCACTTTAGTGCTTTTCATTTGCTTAGCAGCCAATGGCCTTTTTCAGCTTTTAAGGCATGCAAGAGTTCCACGATCTAACATATTTACTTGTGATGAAGAAAGAAATAATCGCTTGATGTCCATTCACACCTCCAGCTAAGTTTCAGACATTGTTAGTAAAAAAATTAGTGCTAGAACTGGTTCCGAGAAACAGATAGCTAGCAGGTTTACTGAAGATGAAGAATGCATGGTGAGTTGTTCTCTCCACCAAGTTTTGAGGTGTTTTGTAAGCAGATCACGTGAGATTTGACCTGTGCCATCCCTATATAGAATGTCTAAATGAATGGCAGTTACCAAGGCCCTTACCTACAACAGATCGCTAACTACATGTAACAATAGACCATGTGATGTACACTATTGTTTCACAACAATACCACATAATATGTATGTATAAAACTCAGCTACCAGACAAATACCCTATAGATAGTAGCTAACCATGGAATGTGCATTTGAGTGTTTTCTCCAACCACAATATATTTTTAACGTTCGGTCCGGAACACTTAACTACTAACCACTAGGTAGGTAGCTACACATGAGCTACAAGTACACCTAGCTCCCTAGACCTCGCCCTAGACAACAGTATATACAATCTACAGTCTTTTAGGCTAGCTAAGCACTTTTAATTCCTTTACTGCACGTCCAAAACGAAGCTAATGTCATAGCAAAACTGCGCTTTAGCTACCTCAAAGTAACCATCGAGGGCAATGAAAAATAATACGCGAGTTTATACATGTAATAATGGATGTAATTTAGGGTCCAATCTACCAGTCACGTTGCAACAGTTCAGAGAACTAGCTACAAGACATTCCATGTGGACTATACCTGGTTCCAGCAACCGTGAACTTTCCGGACTCTCCTGCGGGTCGCTCGTGTACTGGCACAGAGAAGTCCTCGCAAGCGCAGAAATAACGTCGGCCCGAGACTCTCGCGCAACGTACTACGTATGCGGCAATAGTGATCAGTCTCGCAGGGGGCATACATTCGCAGGGGGCATACATTCCCCTCGGAAGGTCTGGCCCCGCGAGAGACTGGAGTCCTGCGTTAATTGCGTCATGCGTACAACGATTAGTCTGGGGTACGTGGCTACGCCAGACAATATAATTATACAAAGACTGATGTGGACATTCGTGGCCAACGTAATGCTGCGGGCAAGCATCAATATGTGGATTAGCTTTTTCACAGGTTCCTCGAACGCTAGGGTGTCCCGTACTAGCGTCGTTAATATCATCCGCGTTGTATATAGCTCCCACTGACTGCGAGTAATAAACCCTCTGCGCGTATGCGCAGCGAGGGACTTAGTTTGTGTGTGTGTGTGTGTGTGTCTGTGTGTGTGTGTGTGTCTGTGTAAGTATGTGTCTGTGTGTTTGTGATTTGGGAAAGAAGGAAAAAAGGTAAAGTGTAGGCAGGACTAAAGCTAACGAGAGAGGGTGGGTGGCTTTTGTTGGAGTGACCGCATGCAGCCAGCCAGGTGCTTAAATGTGCATGTAAATCTATCCACATGCAAGTGCAGTGCTAAGCTCTTTGTTACTGGTCATCAGGGGAGTTCCCAATCTTTCACCATGTCACACATGTTTCGGCCTCTTTAAACTCCCGACACGTGAGACACTCCAGAAATGGCGAGGCCACTCCACCTGGTTGGAGTCCAGATTGTCTACTACATGGCTACAATTATTATTGTACATACAAACTGACCAAGTACGGTAACCCTCGCTGCGCTTGCGCGCCGAGGGTAATGAAAGCACTGAAGTGTATATAAACCAACGTCGCATTGTGATCTCTAAGCACCAGAAGTACCTCTCTAAGCGTGTTCTTACCTTTCTTAGAGCAGAGAGCCTCCAACTCAACCGGTATATCCGTAATTTTACGTACTATTTACGGGAAAAAATAGAAGAATACGGAGGAGAAGCGAACGCGGGGGTTCAAGCGCGCTACGGAAAAGTTGCGCAAAAACGGAAAATTTGTTATTGGTGCACGGATGACTGTAAAGTTTAGTTGGAGGCTTTGACATTGATTTAACAGCTTTCAGTACCACCGTTTATGTAAACGCATGTGCGCTTCTCCGCTTTTAATACGCTATTTTACGCATGCGCTTAAAATCGGATATTAAATTTATCAAGGTTGTCATGTATACTTTCTCCTTCTTTAGTCACTGTTCGAGGTATACCAGCTGTAATTATATCTCTGATGAGAGTAGCTAAGGCGTATTTGTTTATGGAATTAGTCTGACTGATTAGCTATGCGACCAAGTTTTCATAGAGTGATATTACACCAGTGTAACTGTTGAATAAAAATTGTGCACCATAGTCATGAGCAACTAACAAGTATAGTTGCAACGTAGCCATTATATATAGTGCATCCAATCTGTAGAGGGTCATGCGAGATACACCTAATAGTGCCGCCATCTCCGTCCACGTGAAACCAAGCGAGAGCAAATATTCCAAATGACTTCTTCTGATCCAAAATGGAGGTCGTCCTCTCCTGCCAGAGACATGAAGCACTTCGAAACGGATGCCTTGGTCTTGAGAGTAGGAGTCAAGAGTATACTGATACATGCTCCATTCAGAAAGAATTGTTTGCAGAGAGCTAAATCAGTTGTCTACAGTAGGAAGCAGCCATCTCCTCCCTCTCTTCTTCTGTGAGTAACTCCTCCTCCCCGTTACGAAGGACTTCAAGGATTGAGTAAACATTCCGTAGCCCAGTTTCAAGTTTATTAACAATTTATTCAACAAATTCTTCGTTTGCTATCCCCAGTTTTCGCTGTGATTCGGATATTACTCTGCCCAGCTCTTCGAAAACCTGCTCCAACTGGCGGCCATTTTCAATCGCTAGCTAGCGCCGTGGTAGGCGTGATTCGAAGCCGTGTAAGGTTAATTCTGTGTCGTGGTCCACCACGCAGCCGGTATGTGCACGAGCAATGGTAGCTTATTTCCAAGTTGCACACGGTGCACCTCGCGATATGCTAGCCAGCGATAGAACTCTCTCCCTTTCGACGGCATTCGCTGCAATCTTCGGTGACTGACCGAGGCTGTACCTCTTCCCAATCTTCATATAATAGTTGGAAGGTATGAAAATGTGTAAAAATGTGGCAATACTTTCGGATAAAAAGAAGCACGTACGAAGCCGCGGAAGCGCACGTGCGAACGATAAATAATCCGCTCGAACGAACGACTCGCCAATAAATATAGAAAAATCGCACCGTTTGGACCACTAGGTTAGCTCGCTCTCGCTCGCCAATAATTACAATAATTATGTAGACAGCTGGGCTCTCTCAGATTTGATTTTGGAAAAGGGCTGGAAACACTGGTAGGCGAAGGGATGAATTCAATGGTGGGTCACTAAAACATTGTCCATAAGAGAACGGTCATAGTCTGCAGCCTTGCAACATCAAAGGAAGAAGTACTAATACAAATCCAGTAGATGGTGCATCTGCAAGCTATCAGCAATGATAACATAGATACTAGTGGAAATGTTTAACATTGATGGCGAGCGGGAGCGACTCAACTTGGGATTTGCCCGCGATATTCGGACTGCATAACGTGCCGTCAGCACACAGCTTTCCTTTCGTGAAGCCAGACAGATCTAGCTACCTGTCGCCGTTACATGCGTATTGTACATTGGCAGAACGGAGAGCAGGTGAGCAGAACGGTACTTACCTTACGCTTTCAGCTCGTCTGTCATGGTCCACCGGGCAGCTGGCATGCAGCAGTATGTGCACGAGCAATCCCAGCGTATTTGCAAGTTGCACCTTGGACCATGAAGATTGGGAAGAGGTATATACAGCCTCTGTCAGTCACCGAAGGTTGCAGCGCATGCCGTCGAATTGAGGAGAGTTCTCTAGCTGCCTAGATCGATCGGCGCATATCGCGCATGCGCACTTACACGACGTACGCGGTCGGTCGGTCGTATAATAGTGGAAATGTTGAACATTGTTGGCGAGCGGGAGCGACCCAACTTGGTGTTTGCCCGCGATGTTTGGGCTGTATAACGTGCCGTCAGCGCACAGCATTCTTTTCGTGAAGCAAGACAGATCTACCTGTCGCCGTTACATGCGTACTGTATTTATTATTTTTTATTATTATTATTATTATTATTATTATGCTTTACAACACAGGCGGTGGAAAACGAGAATTGAAGAACAAAAAAGGTGAAGTACATGCATAGACTGTGCTGATGGACTGAAGGCATAAGCCAGCAGCCAGATAAAACAACAACAAACGCAAAACATTACAAACTAACATTAAAATGCATTTTAACTGGTAATTGAGAACACTTGGGGCATGGACACAGATAGTGATATGAACACATATTGTTTGAATCGAAGTTGGACATGAAATGATCCCAGAAATATGCTCGTAACTTGGATTTTATTGCAGAAGGAGAAAGAGTTATATCGAAGAAAGGTAAGGAGTTCCATAGACGAGGAATCCGATTGAAATAAAAGTTCCTTTCATAGTTACTTCTACCGAGGGGGTGTTTCAGCTTGTAACTATGGCCAGCTCTAGTAGAATGACTACAGAACTGGACAAACTCGTGTATATTGAAATGGCCGGATGGAAACTTTACAGACTTGACCAGAAACATAATGTCAACAATTTCAAACTCCATCATCAGGGGCAACAGATTAAGGTATATTAGTCGATTCCTGTAGTCCAAGAGAGGGTTGCTGACGATGAATTTGGTTGCCCTTCTCTGGACATACTCGAGATATTTTATATCCACTAAAAGGTATGGGTGCCATACAGAAGAACAGTAAAGAAGCTGGGAACGAACAAGAGAAATGTACAAAGAGCGTTTTGCTGGTACCGACACAGAGCTGGAGAAAACTCTCCGTAGAAGACCTAACATTTTGTAGGCCCTAGAAGAGATGAACTGATAATGGGATCGCCAGGTGAGATCAGCTGACACATATAGACCGAGATCCTTTTGTGCAGCTAAAGAGGAGATTTGTTTACCATTCAAACGATAGTTGAACGACGAAGGAGATGACCTAGGCTTGAAACGAATAGCAGAACACTTTTCTTCATTTAGAAGCAGGTTCCAAGTTGAGCACCAGTCAGAGAGTCTAGAAAGATCAGTTTGCAGATTCAAACAGTCTTGCAGGGAGTAAATTGGCATGATGCACTTAGCATCGTCAGCAAAAAGTAAAACCTTGGAAAAGGATAACGTAGAGGGCAAATCGTTAACAAAGATGAGAAAGAGAACTGGACCGAGGATACTTCCTTGTGGCACACCAGAGATAACAGGTAACGTGGGAGAAGTTGATTGGCCAATAGAAACATACTGGACTCTGTTAGACAGGTAAGCTCTCACCCATAGCCAGAGATCACCAGTGATTCCAAACTTCCAGAGCTTGCAAAGAAGTTCATTATGAGCCACAGAATCAAATGCCTTCTTGAAGTCTAGGTAAATAACATCTGTATGTGAAGCAGAGCTTAAAAGAGTGTTAAAGAAAACAAGCATCTGTTGCAGGGTGGAACGGCCGCGTAAAAAACCAAACTGGGAGACAGACATAGAGTCACTTACAAAACCCACAATACTGTTAAATACGAGCTTTTCTAGAACCTTTGAAACAACCGATAGTAATGAGATTGGTCTGTAGTTTCTTATGGAACTCTTATCACCGGATTTGAATATAGGTTTTATTGAATGCGTGCGCCAGTCAAGAGGGAGATACTTCTGGGATAAACTCAGAGAAAAGAGATGGTGAAGAGGTTGGTAGAGAGCAAGAGCACAGTGTTTCAACAGCTTGGGACTAATGCCATCACACCCCTTTGCCTTAGTTACATCAAGGGATCTCAGAACACGAAAAACATCTAATTCGCTAATGGAGATATCACTGAGGGAAGATGAAGGCATTTCCAACTCACTGGATGGCGGTAACTGGAACACACTCCTGGTAAATACCGAATGAAAGTACTTGTTGAACAGCGATGCCTTATCAGAATCTGAGACAGCAAATGTATCGTCAAGATGGAGAGTAGGTGGCAAAACATTTTGGTTCGAAATAGAACGAATATAAGAGTAAATTGCTGAAGAATTGGAGATGTGGTGAGACTCAATCAATGCAGATTCGTAATCAGATTTAGCTTGTACAAGTTTGGATTGGAGAAGAATTTCCATATGGTGTATTTTATTCTCCCTTTGCAAGGTGGGCTGAGCTCTGAACCGTCTTTTCAACGTACGCAGGCATTTTAGGTGATGTCGTACATTGGAATTAAACCACTTTGGTCCCTGGCGTCGTTTAACTTGTATCCGAGGAATGTATAACGACATCGCCTTACAAATCAGTGACTTTATAAAAAACCAAATATACTCAATATTGGAACAATCAAACACAGCACTGAAATCTGAATCTAGTAAAAAAGAAGAAATGCTCTCGTAATCAGCGTTACAAAAATCATACACATAACCTGGTTTGCACTTAGGTACAGAAGATACATTACAACAAAACACAAAACTAATAGCATGGTGATCAGAGAAGTCTACGACAGACATAGGATACACTGTTAAACGATTTACAACAACACTTGCGGATGTGAGAACCAGATCAAGAAGATTACCTTTAACATGAGTGGGCTCTGAAACATGTTGGGTAAGATTACAATCAAAAACAAAGTTACAAAAACTATTAGATGAATCTGAAGTGCCCATAAGAACTGACCAATCGATATCAGGGAAATTAAAATCACCTATAATAACACATTTGGAAAAAGATGAAGTGAGATCAGTGAGAAATTGAACAACAGAAGAGACATAAGAAAAGGAACATTCTGGAGGTATATAAACACAACAAATAACACAGTCATTACCATGACCTAGTTTGACAGAGACAATTTCCAAATCATGTGGGGAGGGAATAAAAGAACTAAAAAGAGATTCTCTAACAGCAATCAACACACCGCCACCATGAGAAAGTCTATCTTTCCGGTACAAAACATAACCAACAGGAAGAATCTCACCATCACAAATAAAATCAGAAAGCCATGTTTCAGTTAGGCAAACGATACAAAAATTAAATGTGTACACAAAAGATTGGAACTTGGATAACTTATTAACTAAGCTACGAATATTAAGCAAACAAACAGAGGGGTTAACAACTAGTCATGACTGAGAGGAGGGGTTTGTAGCAGGGGTGAAAGGAGGTGATGTTGATGTAGCCGTGGTAGCCCTGGTGTCGACACTACTGGATAATGTGTCTAGTTGACAAGTGTATATTGCTAGAACGGTGAGCAGGTGAGCAGAACGGTTCTTACCTTGCTTTCAGCTCGTCAGTCGTGGTCCACCAGGCAGCTGGCATGCAGCAGTATCTACACGAGCAATTCTGGCTTACTTCCAAGTTGAACCTTCGAATGAAGATTGGGAAGAGGTACAGCCTCGGTCAGTCACCAAAGATTGCAGCGCATGTCGTAAAATGGAGGAGAGTTCTCTCGCTGGCTAGATGGATCGGCACATATCGCGAGGCAGCGTGTGTGAAAATGTGTAAAAATTTTGAAATGATTTCGGATAAAAAGAAGCGCGAAAAGAAGCCGCGCATGCGCACTTACACGACGTACGCTGTCGTATATAATATATAGAAAAATCCGCTCGAACGAACGACTAGGTTGGCTCGCTCCCGCTTGCCAATAATATAATTATAGAAAAATCGGCCCGTTGTGACGACTAGGTTGGCTCGCTCCCGCTCGCCAATTAGTGGCTAGGTGGGGTTGGGGGAACAGTTAGGGAAATAGAGAACAGTTGAGGAAAATAGAGGACAGTTTGGCAAAAGTTATATACAAACCGGTTAAAGTACCGTCTTTGGTCGTACTCTATGGAAATTATTGGGCTTGGGGAATGTTCTTAAAGCTCAACCCAACATGTACTCCAGCCGCGCTGCTCGCTTATGCTACATGACCTTCTCAAACTTTCCCTTCACCCAATAATTTTCCATAGTGCCGGTATTTTAACTTACTTATACCTAATACTAGGTGCTAATAGCTACTTCATACATGATTTTGGAGATACCCACGGCACCCAAAGGTTAAAGCATCATGAAGTTATAGCTACACTCTCTAATAGCAACAAAGGTGGACACCTTGAAATTAGCTGGTAAAGACACCTCCATGCTACAAATGGTGAAAATAAGGCTGGAGTACATGTTGGGTTGTCAGGCACTATGTACCCTTAACATGCACATAAGAGAAAGAAACAAAGATTACTTAATCGTAAACTTGGCAATATTGAAAGAATAGTATTAGCTATATTACCACACAGTTCTAATTGAAACACACTGCTTTAACGATAAAATCCACTACGTGCTAACAAAATGTTTTTCATCCAGCAGCTTCCGGAGAGAACTGCAAAAATGGGCATAATATAATTACATATGTAAGAAGCTGTTGAAATTACCGTCATAGTTGCTCTTTGCCAATTGCAGTGGATGGCTTCAACAGTTACTGTTTTGATATCTTCTTGTGAAACAAATCCCACATAGAATGGATCACCTGGATATGTTCAGACCACAATCACATACCATCCAATGCAAACATAATCTTGTGCAAAAATTGTCAGATTTACTAGTATATATCTACCAGCCTGAAAAGTATTATACAAGTTAGCGGTAACTATAAGGCTCTTTCCCAGGCCATCTATCTCCGTGGAATGGAAAAGTTTAACAAATAGACTTTAGACCCCCTTAGTCGCCAATAATTAGGGGAGGACAAGAGAATGAAGCTACTAAACTAATAGTTACCTATAACCCTCACATTCCTCAGGAGGTTGGTCATTGACAGTGCAGAAGATACCCTGGTCAAGTGCAGGAGCATAGCCATCATCCACAGTACACTTTAGCTCCTTCCCTTCCACTGTGCAACCCATTGTGAAATCCATCTCCATAGACTCACTAGCAGATTTAGAGAACCATGAGAACATGTTAAGCGATCCAACAAGTATATGAATAGATAGATACACATTATAGCTAACGCTGTGCAAGTATTTGTGCAGTGGTTCGCTATTAAACTATTCTCGGTCAGATGACACATGGTGCACTGTAGTAACTTCCAGCAAAACGTAAAATTTTTAATCAAAGGTGTAATAAAATCCTTATTACGATTGATTGGTCGTTTGCTGGGGATACCACGCGCGATAATGGCTCATTCACCCAATAAGGCGATGCGCGTGAACCTGCGCAAACGTGCCGTTCTATTATCACGCGGGCTGGCCGGCTCAGCCGCCAGGCAAACACGAACGACGCTGACAGATCGAGAGAGCGATCTAGGGAGGAGAAATGGCAGAGGCTTTCCGTTGGAAGTCGAGGGTTGGGATTCTGAGACGACGCTGCAAGACTCCGCGTCCGAGAGTAGCGCTCCTGGGGACGGGCCGTCTTCATCGAAAGGCGTAGGCTCTCGCTATCTCTGACAAGAAAGAGGGCTACGTGCACTACTTCCACAGCTGCAGAGAGGTTTGCACGTAGCCCTCTTTCTTGTCAGAGATAGCGAGAGCCTATGCCTTTTCGATGCCGCGGCCCGTCCCCAGAAGCGCTACTCTCGTTTGCGCAGTCTTGCAGCGACGTCTCAGAATCCCACCCTCGACTTCCAAACGGAAAGCCTCTGCCATTCGCTCCATCCTCGATCTGTCAGCGTTTGTACATAAAAACATTGATACCCAACCCTAACCACAGTGGATATTCCACCTTCTCACCCTCTGGGTGGGTAGCTGATTGATTGTGCTAAAATAACATAGCAACGGTACTAATAAGCTAGAGATAGGAATAGCAATGTTAGTGTCATGACATTATAATTATACAACAGGGGCTCTTTCATCTTATTAGGTCTATCTGTTCTCAGTAGTTTGAATAAGCCCCTAAGGATAGGCATGCATGTTACCGTCCATAACATTTTATACCAGTGGAAATGTTGAACTTGTGGCGAGTGGGAGCGACCCAACTTGGGATTTGTTCGGGCTGCATAATGTGCCGTCAGCGCACAGCTTTCCCTTCGTGAAGCAAGACAGAGCATGCACCTGTCGGCGTACTGTATATTGGCAGAACGGTGAGCAGGTGAGCAGAACGGTCCTTACCTCACGCTGTGGTCCCACCAGGCAGCTGGCATGGCAGGCAGCGATCGACCGGTTTCCCGACAACGGCTGCGTGGTCCACCAGGCAGCTGGCATGCAGCAGTATGTGCACGAGCACATGCTAGCGCTTGGAACCATGTATGACTTTGAAGAGGTAACCTCGTCATCACCGAAAGTTGCAGAGCATCGCGTCGAATGGAGGAGAGTTTTGTAGATCGATCGGCGAGGCATGTGTGTGGAAATAAAAGAATCGCGTACAAAGTACCGTCGCATGCGCACTTACACACGTACGACGATGGATATAAATTCCGCTCGAACGTGACGACTAGGTTGCTCGCTCCCAGTCTCGCCAACAACAGGGGCTCGTCATCTTTATTGTTTCTCCGGTAGTTTCAGTAGCTTCTGAATCTCTCAACATGTAACTGTTGTTTTAACGATGGTCTTAATGGCACTTGTGACTACAGGGCATGTGCTGGAGTTGAAATGTTTCTGCTCTTCATGTCTAGTGTTCATAGGCTGCCCCGTCTGTATGATCCAAGTATTAAACACTAACGTAACTTACATCACTATAGGAGGTTCTGTGGGGCCGGGTGACGCTGGAGGCGGTAATAAGGTATGTGTCCACAGCGCCCTCTTATTCTTACTGCATGATGAAAAACCATTAAGCCACAACGTAATGTCCAGAACTAATACTATGTGATGTGCTGCTGCACAAAAGGGCCCTAACTCAATGGCACAACATTTTTGCGGTAGCCCTACATTATATGCTGCAAAGACACGAAGCTGAGTAATTTTTGTTTGTTTTATTGTGTGTCCATTGGGTTACCCAACCCTTTCTCTCTTGTACATTTGTGCCTGTGGCTCCTTTCTTCTTGATTAATCGAGTGTAGCACAACCGTAAGTTGGTTGGGTGTAGTGTGGAAAGATTTGGTGGGCAACGAAGATACTGGTTTCGGTGTAGCTGAGCAACTGTTTATGCTTAGGGCATGCTGCGAATCTATGATTGCTATGAGCGGTTCACACGATATACATATTAAAAACCAAAAGGTGCCAAATGTTTGATGAAGCTGAAGTGGGCGGATCCAATTGTTGAGCCTTAAATGTGTTGTGGTGCGCACTGTCGTCTTTCCCATCAGTTGTCTTCTTTTGTGTGCTGGGAGCCAATGAATGTCTGGCTGCGAGCAGCAGATGTGAAAGTAAGAGTATAAAATTGATGAATGTATAGCACTGTCTGTGACAATCATTGTTAGTCTCGGCTGGCTCTGCACGACTATCTTATCTAATACATACAACTGGTCTATAGCTACTACCTCACATCACAGGTTGGATAAAGGCGCAATAAGGTTAACAAAGGTGACTAGCAGTGGTGCGCCGGTTGGTGTTGTGGCCAAGCCCCTCTGAGTATAGAGCAAGGTGCGGAGATGTCCAACCACGAGCATGGTAGCCCATGGTATGAGGCCGGCGTGAACGAGGAGAGAGAGCACGGTTGGAGAACTAGGAGAGAAGTCTAGGACAGAGAAAGAAGGGAGAAAAGTTACCGCCACCCTCAGTTGACTGTGCCTCAGGTTTCCAGTGGGTGCCCCACAGTGAGTGCCTGTGTAGTGATATAGAATAGCATTAAGCCGAGAGCATGATGGTAGAATAGGTATGCACACCCTTGTGTGGATACTCAGAATTCATAGACAGGCTCCATTACATCCATCCCCATCGTTGATTGTACTCATAGGTACGGAGGGAGATGGCACCACCATCCTGCCAACAGCACCCTGATGTGGTATATAGAGGGAAGGAGCCATGTTGGATAGTTGTGGCCATAGGTATGTCCCTACGCCACTGCCGCCAAGAGTCAGACCTAGGAGTATCTCGGACGCTGATCGTACACGGTGGAGACAAGTGTTTGTGTGTGCATATGTGGGTGATGCATGTGTTTGCTAGTCTGTGTATGTTATAGATCATCTGTTCATATGCTATCAAAAGCAGTGGACATAACAGCGCTCCATATCTATATAGGCATAGATATAGCCGGTACCTTCGTGGAATGAGCAATGGCGTACCTCTTAGCTTCTGTCCAGAGGACTAGTGGACATTCCCATCAACCCACAAACCCAGAGAATGTGGATTTCCACCCCTGTAATCGAAACAAGTTTGGACATTACGTAGAGGTGTTTCTTCTTGCTCCAGGCTATGGTGCGATATTGAGTGGCATAAACTTCTCAAAAGCTGACTGTGAAAAGGCAGAGTAGTGTCCCCCTATTTTGTTACTTCAAACACTCCTTCTACAGCCCGGGATCACAGGACATTTCCATGAAGGTAACTAGACCATGTGATGCACAAGAGAAAAAAGATGTGGATGCTCTGGACAGCTGTTTCGGGCTGTGTTGGCCCTCATCAGCACGAGCATACAGCAACTTCTCTCTCTCTGGCTTTCAAATTTTAAACATTTGCTAGGTAGGTTAGGGTTTGCAAGCCTTGGAAAAATCGGACGATGGTGTTGTGCTTGGTAGGGGTGGTGATGCTGCATGTCGCGACAGTGTGCACTTGTTCCTGTATTTTGCTAGTCTGAAGAAATTTTACTAAGCCTGCTAGATATACAGAGCCTCAAAACATGCAAAGATTTGTTGACACTAAGGAAAGGCAATAAGCACCCAGGCACGTGTGAGGTTGTGGCAAGTATTTTGGTTTGGTGTCATGTGTTTCTTTTTCTGTAGAAATGATTTGGAACTACAGGCCATGAGGCGGCCTATCAGCGATAACTACACCTACCAGAATGGGCAGCCTGAAAATAAGTGTATAAATTTAAGACAGTCCTTTTTCTGAAACGGCAGGGATGGTGAAAAGATAATATGCCCTAGAACCAAGGAGAGCCAAATGTCACCATGGCACTACTGCACCTGGTTTAGCATACCGAAAGGATGAAACATGTGTAGACGCTGACTGTGTTGGAGTGAGTAACTGGTGTAGCTATAGGGTATTTGTCATGTGGTATGCACGATTAGCGGACTGCTTATATGTGCGTGGTAAAGGCCAGACCAGTGCTTAGTGCACGTTTGTTGTGTCTGAGGTTTATCACATTAGTGCTTAGCATAACTTAATGGGGTGCAAGATATTGCATATTGGTGGTGTAGAGTAGCCACCGATATCGGACGCCATGTATTCTCGGACGCATTTGTGAAGTCTGTGCAGGACTAGATTGGCTACTGTGTATACCAAAGTGTAGTTCTTGGTCATAAACTGTTGTATAAAAATATTCGCTCTTATCCGAGCTTTACCGTGGGAATGACGTTGCCGTAAAGTTACGATTCGGGCACAGCAAAGTTCGGACAAGGCCATCAAGGTAGGACAGTCTCCCAAACGGGAACAGTATGAATGATCCAAGCGAGTGTATGCTCGATTGATAGCTGTACCTTTTGGCTATGCAGCGACCCACAAATGGCCCTTTTTTGTCTTCGCTATTTCTGCTCACGAAAGCGCAAATAGGCGGGGTCGCGTAAGCCGCGTTTTAACGCGAAAAGCAGTTTTCGGCTAGTTTCTTCTAACACACGCGCCGGATGAAGCTATAAAATTTTCTCCTCGTTCTTCTTGCCTTATATTAGATGCCTGCAGCAAGATTTCCGTTTTTATGAGATCTAACTTTTTATTGGTAATTACAAATAAATAATTATTGGTAATTACAAAAAATTAAAATCTTACAACAACGGAAATCGTGGTGCAGGCATCTAATATAAGGCAAGAAGAACGAAAATTTTATAGCTTCAT